TAATTTCTTTTCATTATAAGCTTCTCGCATATATTTCTTTTTCTTTTTTATCTTAATTTTGTGGATGGACATACAAAAAATAACCAAATATGAAAACGAACCAGCGCGTATGCGCGGGTAATCACCTAGTAAATAAAAAGGGAAAACATAAGTGATTCAGAAAATTGTTAATTTAGATTGTGACATGTGTCAATATTAGCAAAATTTTAATAACTAGATTATGATCCGCGCATCGCGCGAGTTTTTGTTTTATAATTTTATTAAATTTAATAATTGTTATGTATTTATTTAGTAGTTTAGTATTTATGTATGATAAAACAACAAATTCTTTGTAGATATAAAATAATATATGATTTTAAATAAATAAACGAATTTTGTGATTTAGTACTAATAATGCTTAAATCTATGAAGTGATTATCAATAACTTCGATATCGATAGTTCCCGTTTAATTTTTTTTTTAACTTTGTTACGTACTTATATATGTGACCATTATATAAATTGTGTTATCTAAATAACCAATTATGATTTAGAAGATAAAATTTATCAATCATTTTTTACTCTATCTTTATAGTAAGATTACTTCTCATTTATTATTTTTGTCATTTATCTCCGTCTCTTGAGTTTATATATATTTTGAATTTTTTTCATCGTAGAGAAATATTTGAGATTTTGTGATACTATTTGTTGAACGTTGGTCTTCGTAATAGATTGATAAATAAAAATTTTAAGATAATTTTGTAAGTTTAATGTGTGGTTAAAAAACAAAAGTTGGATTGAATGTAATATTTCTTTTTTATTGAGCTATAAAACTTTTTAATAAGAAAAAAACCTTTCATATTTCATGAAATATATAGATCTTAAAAATATTATTGAAAATATTGTTTTCTTCACATTTAAAAAACATATGGTTTAGTTAGTTGCTTTTTACTAACTGTTTCAACTATAATTCATAACACATTTAAGTTTCTTTTTAATATGTGTAATATATATATATAAATTCATATTATTATTACTAATAATATCTTGTATAGTATTAGATTTATTAGTTTTTATTTTCATTCATTTTTTAATTTTTTCACGTTTTTATTTTAATTTAATTTTCTTATTAGTT